AGAGTTTTGTAGCACATGGCCACACTCTGCCCAGCCACCCCCTGCAAAGTAGGCTCAGTTCCATTACATTTAATGATTACTAAAGGCTTATCTATCTAAATGAACTTGTGAGGCAGATGAGGTAAACTGCATTAAGCCCCATTGTGTTCAGAATTAAAGCAGCCTTAATTCAATTCAGTTTACTTTCCATCCAAAAAGAATGACTCCAAATCAGATTAAGGCTGCTTTTATACTGCAACAGAATGTCCATGCTGGGCTTTAAAGCAGTTTAACAAATCTACTTTAAATGCACACCTTTCGTTAATTCAGATCAGCTTTCCTGAAGTCCCCAGTGGAAATAAGGCTTAAGAGACTCCGTGCAGGCAATCTGCGTGGGTTTGCTAGGATGCTGTGAACTCACACCCTGGCTTACTGCACACTAACTTCCTCGTGAACACAAGTAAATCCAGTTCATTGCCTCTGCTGGGGCTGCCACACAGAGGATTTGAGCTATTGGCAATCTGGCAGCAACCTCTCAGTTCTGTGAAGGAAGGGGGTACAAAGCTTTTCATTTTCACTCTCCCCCTTGCTCCTCTGCCTGTTCCCTAGTGCTCTATAGCTAAGTATGGTAGGACCAGATGGCGAATTTTGGCAGTGATACCAGCCTATGTGATTCCTGCCCACTGCCTCTCCGCTTCATTCCTGCTTCTGCACTGCAGTGCACTGCTGCCTTGCTCATGCCTGGCGAGTTCCCTCATGCCCTTCACCAAGAAAAATCTGTATGGGGGCAACTAAGAAGCACAGAGAGGCACAGAGCAGTGGCTGGTAAAGAAGGCTTGGGTAGCGACTCCTTACGCTCGAATAGCTGCCTTGCCTCATCAAACTACAGCCCAACTAAGACTGCCGTATCTACTGGTGTCTGTCCATAATAACATGGGCATCGCTTCTGGGAGGTCCCTGCCAAATCAATGAAGGTCTCTTGACTCTTTCAGAGATGCACTAAATTGGCCATCAGGTCATTTCCAGTCGTCTTCCACTGACTTAAACAACCCCTTAGAGCTCATGTGTGGCAAAAAGAAACATACGCCAAAAGGGGGAGAAAAAAGAAAAAGAAAAAGTAAAAGGTAAGAAAGAAAAGGATGCTTACTGGTAAGAACAGGCAGTTTGTTAAGTGCACCTTCAGGCCCACAAAGACATTTCAGCACTCCTGTGTAAAGGGAGTAAGAGTTTTTGTTGTTGTTGTTATTTTTTTGCATCAAACTTGTCAAAAACACATGCCTATGGTACATGAGGTTAATTCCTGTACTCCATATGTATTGAGATCCTTTGCAGTGAGCTATAAATGGACAAAGCAACGTTCAGGCTCCCCAAACCATCTCGAGTCCTAATGATCCATCCCAGTCTCCTGGCAAAGAAAAATCGCTGCACACAGCACTTTTCACGTATGCAGAATGGTTATCATTCTGCTCACTAAACTAAGGTGTGCATGCCCAAACGTGACAGCAGTTAAGTTACCAAAGTGAGGCCGCATCTCCCAGATGCTGCTTTCTGGTCATCAGTCCCACAGCACTGAATTGATTATTGCTGTTTAGTTTAGTCGGTTGTTTTATAAGCTGAGTGCAGCATTCAAGTCCATTTTGACATGAGAAGTCATATCCTAGAATGTAAGAGTTTGGGAAGATCAGGACCACCAGAATTTAATGGGGAGAGAGGTGTACGATGGGCAGGGGCATGAGCAGGGGACAGGAAGATTTACAACATCTACCTAGAGGATGTAATGCCCTGTTTTATCTGATGCTTTGCATTTCTTGCAGGAGTTAGAGCTCCCTCAGTTCTTGATTGCTTTCTCATCATTAAGATTCACAGAAGCCACACAGTGAGAAATAAAGTCAAGTCTTTCTGGAAACCTGGCAGGTCAGGCTTGTGCATAACTGCAGAGTTAGGGTTGTTTTTTAACTCTAAGTAAGTGCCTTGATTTTATACATATGTGTGTCTGTGCATGCGTGTGCTACACACATGCGCGGACACACATACATATCTTTCTACACATATATACATATATCAGAAAGATAGGGGAAGAAAGGAACTGTGCAGTGTGGAAGGAGAAGTGTTCAACCGCAGCTGGCGACATGCTAAGTGCAGAATGAAGATCCTCAACTTTGTCCATTAAAAAAAAATACATTAGTGCCTACAGTAGTTCAGATTAAAGAGTATTATCTTCCAGGGACTAGCAGTCAAGGCTGGCATATTGCAGGAGATACCTTCTCCTAGTGCTGCTTCCTTCACCAGATGATGGTGGAAGTAGAGTAAGGTTAGGGAGCAGAAAGAAGAATATGGCTCGAAGGATCTGTGATGGGATTTAAAATCTGAAAGACTGACGAAACACGATGGAGGAGGCAGGGATGGGAAAGCACTGGAAAGCGTCTCCCACCTCCCTGCTGGGGAATCCAAGGGGAAGAAAAGCACAGCCCTGCAGTCTGGTTGCCTGACTGGGTGATGCCACTGTTCATGCTGGTCCCTAGTTCCTCCTGCGTCCTGCCATGCTGGGACAGGCTGCCCAAAAGCCATCTCAGGGAAAGGAAGGGCAGATACAATGATGGCAGTGATGCCTCTATAAACAGCCTAGGGAAACTTGAAGTCTTGCACAAACACAGCTATGAGTTATTTGGCAGAAGCAAATGCTGAGCCCTGCAGCACCGGACTGGCTGGGGAAGGAAGGTATCCCGTGGGCGCTGGTGGTTTCTGCCCTCCTCGTCAGCGTCCCTCTCACTCATTTGCTCTTTCTTTCTTTCTCTGCCTCCTTCTGTGCTGTGCCAGGAGGCGGCACAGAACACTTCTGACAGTGCATTGGTGCCTCGATGCTTCCTTCGCTCTCTCTGATCAGCTCAGTTCCTGGAGGCACTTTCAGCAATTTAGGGGATGTAAGATAAAGGCACTGAGCAACTATCATCTAAATCAATCTGTTGCGTCTCTTCAGTGAGTTTTCGGGGAATACCAAAAAGTCTCAACTAATGACTGCAAAAGAAACCAGCTGCTGCAATTTGGATGCATGTAAGAGAGAAGTTTCATTTACATTCTGAGAATGCACCAAAAAGCATGCATCTGCACCTTTTAACTATAAAGGATACTCGGTTTTAGGTGTTGCTATATATAACTTGACTTCTTAATTTTCCATATAGCTTTCCCTTTAAGGGATGGGATACGCTCCTTTCTGACAACGCCTGGACAAAAGCCAACACATTTCCCTGAGCAATACAGGAAAACAATCAGGTTTCTCTAATTAGTTCATTCAGGCCCTCGGTCTATCAAGCACTTTTTTTAATTTTGTTTTTATTGTTATTATTATTATCATTATTGAATTCATGCATTAATTAATTCAAGTTACACCTTAATCAGATAGGCCATAATGCTGAATATTTGAACATGCTTTGATCTCCAAAAGTTATTGTTCCCATTTGACTAACATACGCACTTAAATACAGTACTTTAAGTTACTAGTCAACGATTTAATAAATTAAGGAGTGCACTTCTGGTGAATGCAAATCAAAAAGAGAAAGAAAAGAGAAGAAAAGAAAAAAGAGAGATAAAGGACCTATTTTTCAGAAGACTCAGTTCAAACGAAAGCTTATCCACTATTGTCTGAGGTAACGTTTCAGGCATGCGATTATAAAATAAATAGTATCAAATTCAAACATGCTTATATTAAACTCCATTGTGCTATCTTGCAACAGAGGGGCTTAAAGTTTTGTATCCAGTTCTGGAGAGGGGAAAGGAAAAGTGTGTTTAAATCATCTGCATGTAAGAGAACTTAGCAGCATTGCAGATGTTTTGTCTTCCTTTTTGTTGGTTATTTTCCTTTTAGAATAGTTCTTCTATGAACAGCAAAAGAGGCCAGGCTTAAGTATGTTTTTAATAAGGTGCTGCGTGGATCTGTAGATTGGAAGCATGTAATCTTTCACATAGGGGGGCCGAAGGAAAATTTGCTCTCCTTCATAAAAACCATGGCAAACACTTGCTGCAGGTTTTTGCTAATCTTTTTTCTTTATTATTATCTGATGCACTTTCTTGTAACTGTGCAGTTTTGCAGAATATTTTTACTGGAATCCATGCATATGCTTTATAGCTCTAAAAACTGTCTTGCTTAGTTTTAAGTTAACTCATCAAAAAAAAAGGGACATGGGAGAGGAAAAGTTTAGGTCTAGCATCATACAGCTTAAAACTAAACTAGTTCAAATGGTTATCATTTACCAGGCGGAAAATGCTTCTTAAAAATAAACAAAACCTTATCTTTCATGGATCCTGGAAGCTTCTTTATCGCTGAGCAAAAATTCGCAATGCAATAATGCATTTACGAGGTAAATAAAGCATTCAAAGACTATCAGTAAAGCATCTACAAAGTGTGACTGTGTCACTAAAGTCCTCAAGCTGTGAGTGGGGATTTTGGTTTTTTTGTTTACACATCAGTCAGCAGCTTGCTTTTATTAACGCAGTTTTGGTTGGCTACAGTGCAGTTGCCAGTTCTGAGATTAGCCTCTCTAAAATTGTCTATGCTATTATTCATATCCTCTTCGATTTCCATGTACTCAGATTTGCTGATTGTGGAGGAGCTGCGGCGACTGAGATCGCTGTCAGATGCTAAATTAGGGGAGCTAACGTGAAGCAACTGAGCCTGTTCTTCCCCTTCTGTTTCTCGGTGGTAGAAGTAGTTGAAGTTGGACACGATGACAGGTACAGGCAGGGCAATTGTCAGCACACCAGCGATGGCACACAAGGAGCCTACGATTTTGCCTCCAATTGTCACAGGGTACATGTCACCATAGCCCACAGTGGTCATGGATACCACCGCCCACCAGAAAGCATCAGGGATACTTGTGAAATGAGACTCAGGTTCTTCAGCCTCAGCAAAATATACCGCACTAGAGAACAAGATCACCCCAATGAAGAGGAAGAAGATTAGTAAACCTAGCTCTCTCATACTTGCTTTGAGGGTCTGTCCCAAAATCTGGAGGCCCTTAGAGTGCCGGGAGAGTTTGAAGATTCGAAAGACTCTTACCAGTCTGATGACTCTCAGGATGGCCAAGGAGGTGGCCTGCTCTCCTTTCTGAGTCCCCTCCCGCTCGGCCATCTCGGTGCCCAGGGTGATGAAGTAAGGGATGATGGCCACAATGTCAATGAAGTTCATGATATTCTTGAAGAATTCGGTCTTGCTGGGGCAAGCAAAGAAGCGTACCACCAGCTCAAAGGAGAACCAGATGATGCACAGGGTCTCCACAACAAAGAAGGGGTCTGTGAAGATGTTGGATTTGTAGACCTGGGTGGTGTTGTCAGTGCGATGCACTGTGTACTCCTTGTCCTCCTTCAGCTCAGGTAATGTCTCTAGGCAGAAGATCACGATGGAGATGAGGATCACCATGACAGAGACTATTGCAATGACCCTTGCAGGCCCAGAGCTCTCTGGGTATTCAAAGAGGAGCCATACTTGGCGCTGGTACTCCCCCTCCGGCAAGGGTCTCTCCTCATCTTTGATGAATCCTTCATCTTCCCGGAACTTCTCCATGGCCTCCTCACCCAGCTCATAAAATTTGATCTCCTCAGAGAACATGTCCAAGGGCACATTGACCGGCCGGCGAAGCCGCCCTCCAGACTGGTAGTAGTAGAGGATGGCATCAAAGCTGGGCCGGTTCCGGTCAAAGAAGTACTCATTGCGCAACGGGTCAAAGTACCGCATGCGCTTCTTGGGGTTGCCCAGCAGAGTGTTGGGGAACTGGGCTAAGGTCTTCAGCTGCGTCTCAAAGCGTAGTCCAGCAATGTTTATCACTACGCGCTCACAGCACTCATGGTCATCATGGGCAGCGGGCTGGTAGCTATCCTGGGGGTGGCCAGGTAGCGCAGAAGTCTCATCCATGTTCTCTCCAGCCATCACAGTCATGGTGGCACACAGGAAGGGGGACCCAGGGGCAGGGAAGGAGAGGGAGAGGTACTTGAAAGGGGAGAGGAGGATGGAGTCGAGCAGAGAGCCCCAGGACAGATCAATGGCAGG